CTGTGAAAGATTGTCAAGAGAACAAAAAACAAGTCACACTGGGAGAAAATGTTTGCAAAAGATACATCTAATAAGAGATCCATTATCTAAAAAATAAAAAGATCTTCAACATTCAACCATAAGAATACAAACAACCCAAATTTAAATGGACCAAAGACCTTAACAGCTACCTCACCAAAGAAGATAGACAGATGGCAAATAACCATATGAAAAGAAGGCCCACATCACATGTCACTAGGGAAATGCAAATTAATGAGATACCACTATGCACCTATTAAAATGGCCAAAATCTGGATCACTGACAATACCAAATACTGATGAGGATGTGAAGTAACAGGAACTCTCATTCAGTGCTGATGGAAGACAGCTTGGCAGCGTCTTACAAAGCTAAGCATAATCTTACTATACAATCTACAATAACGTTCACACTCTTGGTATTTACCCAAAGGAATTGAAAACTTATGTCCATACCAAAGCCTGCACACTACTATTTATACCAACTTTATTTGTAACTGCCAAAACTTGGAAGCAACCAAGATGTCTTTCAATCGGTGAAAGGATACATAAACTTTGATACATCCAAATAATAGAACATTATTCAACCCTAAAAAGAAACAATCTAGCCTTGCAAAAACATGGAAGAAACTCAAATGCATATAACAAAGTAAAGAAAGCTGATCTGAACAGGCTCAACACTGTATGAGCTAACTGTATGACCTTCTGGAAAAAGAAAAGTCATAGAAACCAAAACAAACAAACAAAAACAACAATGGTTGCTGGAGGTTGGGGGAGTAAGGGATGATTAGGAAGAGCACAAACTGATTTTTAGGGCAGTGTGAGGCTGTACAATTCTATAACGACAGATGCATGTCATTATCTATCCAAAATCATAGAATGTACACCACTAAGAATGAACATTAATGGAAACTATAGACTTTGGATGAGAATGATATATCATGCAGTTCATCAACTGTAACAAATATATCACTTTGGTGGGTGGGGGATGTTGATAAAGGAAGAGGTTATGCATGTGTGGAAAAAACTAGCGAGAGAGAGAGAGAGAGAGAGAGAGAGAGAGAGAGAGAGAGAAATGCTTCTCAGTGTGTACACCTTAAACCACATTCCTAGGAGGTTGGTTGAAGGCAGGTTCCTGAGCTCACCCTCACCCCTGTTTCTGAACCCTAGCAGTCTCTAGAGGTGACTGATAAATCTACATCGTTATCAAGTCCCTCGTGTGATTCTTGTGCATGCTAATTCACATAGAGGGTGATGTTAGACCCTGTTATTTATTGTTTGGCAAAACTCTAACCAAGACCCACAGGTGACCTTTAAACTTGACTTTGGATGCCTCTCCGCGGCGCGTTTTGCCCGCTGGGCGGGGCGGGGCGGGGCGGGGCGGGGCGGGGCGGGGCTTTGGTGGGCGGGGCCTGGGGGCGAAGGGCCCAGCGGGCCTGGCGGGGTGGGAGGGAGGATGAAGGGTTCACGCTCGCGCGCAGGCGCTGCCCTCTGAACTGGAACGGAAAATAATTTCCGGTTGGAGTCTCTGAGCTGGGCGCCGCCGACGTGCGGCGCGAGATACCGATGCGGAATCCCTGGACTGTGAGTAAGAAACTTCGTGAGCGAGTTGGTGTGTCCGAACCTCGTCGTGCGCGGTGATGGAGAAAGTGGGGGTAGGGGGGTGGGGTGAGAGCGAGAGGGACGCGCTGGCAGTCCGGGCGCCGCGGGGCGGGCAGCCGGGGCGCCCAGACCCTGACAGGCTCTGGGAGTGGACAGGGCGGTGCGGAGACGCCACCCGGTGTGCGCCCCGGGTCGCAGCGCTTCCGGGAGGGGCTTTCCAGGCCCGCAGCGTCAGCGCGGCTGCGACGGCTCTCGCCGCGACGCTCCGGGGAGGGATCCCGCGCGCCTTCGCTCTCGGTCACTTGACTGCTTAGCCAGGAAGCCCGGGAGGCAGGGCCTGCGTTGTCCGCAAGAGCAGTGGACAGGGACCTGCGTGTCCCAGACTCCCTTCCGGAGCGGGGGTACCGTGCGACCGCTGCAGCTGTCGTGCTTGCTCTTTGGAAAGCTGCTTAATCGATAGTTTCTGTAGCTTTCCCCAAAGTTGTTGCACAATTTCGTTCTTTGCTTTGCTGTGTTGTCATCACCGCCTTGTCAATGACAAGTTGGGTAACTTCCCGAGGGTTACCTCACGGAAAAGATGGGAGGCCGAGGTAGAAAAGTTTGCAAAAAGAAGCCCGCTCCCAATGGGAACCCAGGTGTTAGGTAGAGTCCTTGCCCCACTGTGAACTGACTAGCGAGCAGTTACTAGTGTAAAAAGCTGTCAATTTTTGACATACGGCATCTATGATGACCCATTAATATGGTGAATTATTTTAGATTTCCAGTTTGTGAACCAGCCCTATATTTGGTCATAATGTAATATTTAAGCATACCTTTTTGTAACATTTTTACCTAAAAGCAGTAATTAGGTTCAACTAGAGTCATCCTTTTTCCGTAATTAGCTTTGCCAGACTTTCATATTAAGTTTATCTGGTTTCCTAAAGAAAACTGAGAAGAGTTTCTTCTTTTCCACCGTGAAGTTTTTTAAATACCATGAGAGCTCTCTGTTCTTTGAGAGCTGAAATAATTTCATCTTGGTAAGGGGGAAAAAAGGTCCAAACCTTTAAACAAGAAGATAAACGAAAACTTTTATTTGGATTTAGGGTCTGACACAGCAGTAATAAAATAGTATCCAAAACAAAGCTGTTGTATACCCTTTTAACCCCACCCACAACTCCTTTTTTTTCATGATCAGGATAAATGCTGTATTAGGCAGAGGCTGCTAATAATTATGTCTCCTATTCTTCCTTCTACTCCAGTTATATTATAGAAGAAATTACATTATATATAGTAGAGAAAAAGTTTTGCTTCTATGGGCAAGTTCTATGCCCTGAAAAAAACCAAGAGTGAAATTCAAATGCTGAAAGCATGTTTCACTTTGTTGCAGTTAACTTCCTAATTTTGCTGGGAAATTTCTTACTTCAGAGGTAATAACCGAGCTGACATTCAACTGTGGCCAAATCCCATATGGGGATTTCAAAATGAGTGAGGGAAAATATGCACAAGCTTGGCATGCTTGTGCTTATTTAATATTAAATAAAAATTATTAACGCAGTCTGGTCATGTGTGTAGTGTGTGTGCACACAAAGAGCAGGGCTGGTTTCTAAGGAAAACAAACCATCTAACCAAAGCCCATCTATTACCTCAGTAGTTTGAGTGGAAAATGTGTTATGTAATCTTTGGTAGAGCCATTAACTTTTTTAAGTTATTGTTTCAAACACTGATCACTTTCAGGAATATGACCTTAGGCAGGTAATGTAATTTATGAACTCTTTTTTTTTTTTTTTTAAAGATTTATTTATGCATACAGGAGCCCGGGTACAGGCCAATGGTACGGGCAGGGAGGGGGCATAGGACTCACCAGAGATGGAGTGGGGAACAGAACAGGCAGATTGACCAAAGTACACTGCTGAGGGGAGCAGCAGGTGAGCAGCAGGTAATGCCATGTGGGCATGGGCAGCTCCCTGGCCGGGGATCGAACTCGTGCTGCAGTGCCTGCGGACAGCTTCATAGGTTGTGTCTTAACCCCTTGAGCCAACAGGGAGGCCCTCTCTATGAACTCTTAAGGATACTTCAAGACCCTCTTAAGTGCTATTTACAGAAGGGTGCAGACATTTTGTGAATGCATCAATATTTGAGTATTTTAATTTATAGTCTATTAATCTAGAAGAAACTAATTTTGACATGATTTGGGGCATAACCAAACGCATTACTGAAAAGTAAGTGGTCAGTAAAAATAGTCTATTGATGTATTAGTAAAACTTTACTATTCTAACGATTCTCACGTGAATCATTAGCTGATTAGCTGTTACTGTTTATCCTTTCTTGTTTTCTAACATCTTATAAACATGAGTATTATTGTTTAATTTCAACTTTTTGTATTAAATTATGTCAAGCTTAGTATTAGTTTCTATTTCCTTAGGTTAATGCTATCACTGTCATTCCCCCTATTATTGCCAGTGCTTTCAGTCATGGGTAGAAGGAAATAGGAGGCTGTTTTCTAGACTATATGTTCACTATAGTCCAGGACCAAGACTCTGAACCATCTTCAAGAAGAATAACCGAATATGAAATGAATTGCCTTGTGAGTGGCTGGTTAATAGGTGTACAAAGTATTTTGAATGAGGTGTAATATATGACAGTTCTCAAAAAAAGTTGAGGATTGAAGTTGGTAGTGATACCAGATCTTTTGCAACTGAACACAAACCTTCAGGAACTATGTAATAAAGGTGTCTTAGTTTTTCAATCCCTAATCTATAAAAGCATTTTCTAAATTTTGTTAAAATACAGGTAACATGCAATTTCCCACCTAGACTATTTTCACATTTACAGTTCAGTAGTGTTGAATGTATTCACATTGTTATGCAACAAAGAAAAACATTTTTTTAATAATTTATATAATTCTTATATCATTTTTCATCTTTGCACAATGTATGCATTTTCATTTTGGTTATATTCCCCATATAGTTGCACCCCCCCCCTTATTTTGACCCTAATCCTTCCTTTTTCCTCCCCTCCCCCCGTAGTGTGTCTCTGGTTTATAGTTGCTTGTTGATTTTGATTTTTATTTTGTATTAGTTAGTCTTTTTCCTGGTCCCTTGTTTAGGTTTTCTAAATTCCTGCTATGAGTGAGATCATCCGGTATTTTTCTTTTTCTTTCTGACTTATTTCGCTGAGCATGATCCCTTCTAACTCTATCCATGTTGCTGCAGACTACATGTGTTTATCTTTTTTGATTGCTGAGTAATATTCCATTGTGTATATGTACCACATCTTCTTGATCCAGTCATCTATTTTTGGGCATTTGGGTTGTTCAAGAAAAACATTTTTAAGGGACTTTTTTTTTTTTTTTTTAAGAGATAGAGCTTAGAAGGCAAATACTAGTTATTGTTTATCTCACAGGGAAAATTCCTGCATAGTAACCTGAGTTTATTTTTTTACCTTCAGGTATGTATTTCCTATGATTTTGAGAGTAAACAGTTTGAGCATCAATAATCTACATTAACTTTGATTTTTCACCAACACTTTGCAAAAATGGAACAGTATTGAAAATGCATTGTCTACTTTGAAAACAAAGTAATTTCAAGTCATTGCAATAAATATTGAAGATTGAATGGCCTAAGAAAAATAATGTGAGTTCCAGTTTAATGGTTAATTAGTTAAAATATTTGTAGTAACATGAGGTATGGTAATTATTCTCTTGAACAGCAGAACAAACAGGCAATTTTGCTGTGGAAAGTAACTTTCTCTAAGGACAGAAGTTAGAGACTTAGATCCTTTCAAGAGAATATATTATTTAAAATTTCTTGAAGAAAATGAACTGTTATTGTGAGATAGTTACATGATTTTAGTATTCATGGCCATTTATTAGGTGATATTTAACTCTAATGTTATTTCATGCCTCATATATTTGTGGTCTCTAAACACGAAATACCTTTTTCTTGAATGTTTCTCAACCTTTTGATAGACATAAAATCTCATATTGTACATTATAAGTGCTCCTTCTTCCCAGTTTTCTGCTGTGCCTCTTCATACTGTGTATAAACTTTCTCTTGTGTTCCTCCAACCAAAAGTATCCCGCAGAGCCCTACTTTACATGATTTATAAAAACAGATTTTTAATGTTAAATAGCCATTTTTAAACTGTAACCTCTCGACCATCTCCAGGTTCTCACATGGCCTGGTCCCTAGTCAGTGGAGAGTATACTCCTTAAAGATAACTCCTTAGGGCCTCCCTGTAGCACAGGAGTTAAGACACAACCTATGAAGCTATCCTCAGCCACTGCAGCACAAGTTCTATCCCTGGCCGGCCAGGGAGCTGCCCACATGGTGCAGCAGACCTCACCTGACTCCCCCGTTGCTCCCCTCAGCAGTGTATTTCAATAGATCTGCCTGTTCTGTTCCCCACTCTGTCTCTGGTGAATCCTCTCACCTCCCCCCCACCCCTGGCACCTCTGGCCTGTACCCCAGTTCTTGTATGCATAAATAAATAAATCTTTAAAAAAAAAAAAAAGATAACTCCTTAAAGACTGAGTAAGCTAATTGAGCAGTGCCATGTTTATGTTAAAGTTTACAGTGAACATCATATGCCCAGTTTCCCTTTTGTTGTTACACTCTTTAGTTGTATACTTCAGCCCATAAAATTTGATAGTGTGAGAGAAACAAGTACTACTGGAGAAAAAAGGAAGTGAGGCAAAGCTAAGACCCATGGGTGTGGTCTTTGACTGAAATTGTTTTAACTCTTAGGAGAGAAAGCCAAAAGTTTCACCAAGTTCTAACATTCAGAAGAATGGAGAACCTGGTCTGGTTGCATTTAGCCAGCCAGTTTATGGGAAAAAATATAAAATTCAAATTTTGAGAGTGCAAACTGAGATATATTTAAGTTTCTGTTTTTTTCAGGTCTCTATTTAGAGTACAGTAACAGTGTAATACTGTGAGCTGTGGGTATATCCATAAGGAAGCTTACAACCTGGAAAGTGAGAATAGAAATGTAACCTGCTTATGTTATGGAACTCTTGAAAATGAAAAATGATCATTAATTCATAAGTGACAGTTTTTTCCCACTTTCTGTCTTCAAGTAAGGAAAACACATTGATTGTCTTTAAAGATTTATTTAACCATCTAAGAGGATATCCTTTCATTTATGTGTATGTCATATATTGTGGGCTTATTTTCTACTTTTTGTACTTGTTACTTTATGTGGGTAAGAAGGCAGACATACAGATAAAATACAGAAAAGACAGTATATTTTTCTCATTCACTCATTCACCACTTCATTTGTTTAAGTGGCAACTTTCTGAAATAGAATATGAACTTGTCTTATTATTTATAACCCAAGGGGTTAGCTAGTCAATTTTTTTCTAGGACAGAGTGGAAGAAGCAGCAGTTTCAAAGTGATTTCCTTCCCCCATCTTTAAACTGCTTTAGAGTTAAATTGGCCTCTCACCACAAGTGTGAACCCTTGTAGAACACTTACCCAGAAGTCGAATAGTCTCGACAGTGGGGGAAACCCAGCAGAGAGCCTTTCCCATCTCACATCACCCACGCTTGTCTCTACCACCACACAAAAGTAGACCTTATTAAAAAGCTATAAATTATTCTGGGGTAGAGGTAAAGGGAATCTACCTTTAAGATCTTGATTTTATTCAGACTCAAATATATGTAATGAATCAAAGTTGAACTGCTCTCGTTGAACTGTGTACTTGGTAGTGAAATAGTGTTTGATTAATTGTTCAGGATTGGTTAGCTATCATTTGACTGTCATTGGTTGGCGGCATAATACAGGTTGCCAAAGATCACAGGCTTAAACTATTTTATCTATTAAATAAGAAGTTTTTTTGAAATGGAGAAAGAAGTGGGAAAAATTGGAATACTACTTAGGAAAAGTCAATATCCAGATAGTAGGAATCTAGAAGTAAGTATAGGAAGAAGGAATTTGAAAAAAAATTCAAGAAAAATGTTCAGGAACTGAGGCATAAATTTCCAGATTAAGAGGGCCTACCAGTTGGTTATCGCAAGTGGTATTAACTAATCCACATCTGTAGATAAAGTCCTAAAATTTCAGAAATGTCGGAATATTGGGACAAAGAAGAAAAACAATAGTTTCTAAAGGGAAAAAATGGATTAAATATAAGATTGGCACATAAAATGGAACTAGACCTCAACAAAAATGAGTGGAAGCTAGAAGACAACATAGCAAAGCTTTCAAAATTCTGAGGAATTATTACTTCCAATCCAGAATTCTTAATCTGGCAAACTATTAGTTAAATCTGAGGGTAGAGAAGACATTTTCAGTTATGCAAAGTCTCAGAAAATTTGCTTCCCAAACACTCTTTCTCAGGAAACTACTGAAGGCTTTACTTTACCAACTAAGGGAATAAAACAAGAAAGATGAAGATTTGTGATACTAAAAATGAAGGATTCAACTAGAGGAAAGATGAGCAAAGGGAATCATCAAATCCAAAGGGAATCCTCAAATCCACTCCTTAAATCTTCCATGAAGGAAGATCCTAAGTTGAAAACTTTCTTCTAGGCATAGAGATCAGCAAGTCTGGACTGGAATGAGTCAGTAAGCTCAAGGAGAGATTCTTCGTAAAAAAGGTGAAATTGGTAGAATAATTGAAATGTCTAAAAGGATTGAGGAGTTGTATTAGTGATAATAAGAAATAAAGCAAACAAAAAATTTTTCAGGAAAGGAAATTCAGCCATGTTATACAGCTCAGCAGTGAATAGCATTACATAGCTGTAAGGTAAAAACTCAGTGCTAATGTAAGCAAAAATAGGATATAACTATATTGGGAGAATGGGGATGACATAACGGGGGAGGGGTATAGAACTGAATCCTTATTTTGTATAGTGGGAAGACAAACTGAAAAATTAGTAATGGAAATCTTAATGTATTTTTTAGAGATACAGAGATAAATACCAAAGAGAATCAACCAAAAGAGTAGAAAATTGTTGCCAAGGTGAAGCAGGAAATGGGGAGGGGGAGGGGGAGCAAGGGACTGCTGTTTTTCTTAAACCTTGTAAAGCTTTTTGACTTATAAAAAATATAGATACATATAACTTTGACTTAAAAAATGAAAATTAAATTAGGGTGAAAAGAACTAGAGAGATCTGGATTTATCTGGGTCATCCATTTTCTGATTCTTCAGCTGACCTTCAGCAACCTTTTAGAAGCTCAGTTTCCTTAATGGGGAAAAGTAGGTAATACATACTCCTGCAGAGGGGAAGATTAAAATGAGGTAATTTAGGACCTGGCAAATAGTATTATCTCAACAGGTGTCATTCCCAACCCTTGTCCCCAGTGTTTCCTATGAGGAAATAGAGGACCACCGCCTTTATTTGGACATGCTTCCCATACCATCAGAAGACAGAGATCGTCCTGGTCCATTACTGCCCCTTTGGAATCTACGTCCTTTCTCAAGTATAACATTGAGAATTTGAGAAGAATTGAGATGATTATAAAGTATTGATGGGAGAACTTAAAGTTAAAAGGGACATTGCTGCTTGGTGAGGAAAGAGCTGTGGTCATACACATAGTTCTCTGTCAACATAAATTCAAGCGCAGATGCTATTAAGGGAATCTCTTCCATTAATAGAGAAAATGTTTGTCATACAGACTGATGAGTTGTGGAAATTTCATGAAACAAAGATCATAGAGTGCTATTGCTCTGGCCCATCTACCGAATACCTTCTTTTTAAAATGTCTTCTGCCTTAGCTCTGCTATTTTTTATTCCAAATTCTGTATGTTTCTTCCTGAACAGTTCAAAAAGGAGTTATTATGAAGGAAAAAAGGACACTGTGAAAGACTGTTTGCCTACTTTGGTGCATGTTTGTATTGTGTTTTACAGAGTATAGTGCTTTCCCAGTTATAACTTGACCCCATAGAACAGTGATTCTAAATTTGTCTTATATTTCTAGCTCCACAAAATTATCCAGCAACTCTTATTTTTTTTTAAGATTCATTTATTTATTTATTTATTTATTTATACATACATACATGCAAGAACTGGGGTACAGGCTAGAGGCGCGGGAGGGCGAGAGAATTTACCAGAGACAGAGCGCGGAGCAGAACAACTGAAAACACTGCTGAGGGAAGCAGTGGGCGCGACAGGAGAGGGCGCGACAGGAAAGGTCTGCTGTGCCATGTAGGTATCTCCCTGGCCGGCCGGGAATCAAACCCGCACTGCAGAGGCTGCAGACAGCTTCACAATGCTGTACTCAATCTGGTGCACCACCAGGGAGGCCCATATCCAGCAACTCTTAGTTAGGGTTTGTTGATCTATTTTTGTTTTATATCCCCCTGCTGGATTCTAATCCCTGTCCTAAAACATGTTCTACCCCATTCTAAACTGGGGCTGATGAGGGAACTGAGTTCTCAGAAAAGTTAAATGACTTTTTCACTCTTACCCATCAAAAGTTGCATTGGTGTGCAGAACCAACCAGAGACAGAACATGTGTTCTGCACACCAACTCTGATTTTATTTTTGTTTGACTGGGCTTTTTAATTTAGATTCTCTAATCTACAAATTGTTTAATAGAAAATTAAATACATCTTATACGATATATAGTCTCAGTTAAAAGTTAAGTATGGAATATTTATTTTGAAGTATTTTTATATTTTTTTCAG